CATTTTATTCATGACATTTCCCTCCCATTTCCCTAATCCCACAACACAATTCAATCTCTTTCTTGTCTGAATCCCCCTAGCATTTTGTTTGTTCTTCTCTAATGGCATTTGTTAGATTCCTGCCCTATCTGCATACAGTGACAATCACATCCTGACCAGATCAACTAGATTATAAACTCTTTGAAGGTCAATGTTTTGGACAAATTTCTTTCCCCCACCGAGTTTAACAAGTTTGTTGAATAAATAAGAAAATACTCATAGCTAGAGTGGCAGGAAAAAAAAAAAAGAGGCTGAGTCCATTTTACCTTCTATTTAGAGAAGTATTTGTTTTCAAAGTTTGATTTTGAAAAGCTGAAGAAGTTGTGTGGGATGCAGCACTTGACTAAACATAAACAGAAACTACCAATTTAACTCTCTATAAACAAAAGAGAGACAGAAAGAGAGAGGAGCTTGAGATTGCTCTTTGCATTGTGGCATTTCAGTGTGCCTGGCTTCAGGGAGGGAGAGGAGATGGCTTCTGAAGCTTGGGCTTGGCGTTGACAGACCGCTTTTCTGCTCATAATCACACAGGGCTGGGAGCAGACTAGACCTGAGACCCCATTGTGTCCAAACTCTTCATTTGCAGATGAAACTGAGACCCAAGGAGACTGCCTTGCTCAAGGTCACTAAGGTACATGGTGGTATAGCCTAGATTGAATAGTTTTCAAATAAAGTAGCGAATAAAGCAACATATTAAAACCTTTCTGCAGAGATCCTAAGTGAGAAAACTAGTACGACAGGTTAGTTAGTATAACGTCAGGCAGTCAGGGATTCCCTGGTAGACTGAGCAAAAGAACAAAGCACTGGCCATTTCTTACACTAGCCATTTCTTTCAAAATTATAAGATAACTCCTTTATACTGGAACAGAGACATCAATCATGTCCCAGGGCAACAAAAGCCATTTTGAAGGACTTTATGAAAGGCCTTCCCAAGGCTCAGCAACAGAACAAATCTGATAAACCCTTTAATAACAGGCACCAGTATTCCAGGCAGAAAAAAAGTATAAAACTCAAGCCTTTTACCCAAGCTAAGGGGCATCCCATTTTTGGGGTATCCCCTCCCACTCGGGAGCTGTAACCTTTCTCTTGCTTTAATAAAACTATCCTCTGCTACAAACTACCTCTCTGGTCTGTGTCTCCATTCTTCGTCTTCACGAGACCACGAACCCGGCACAAGAAACATCCTACATCACTAGCATTTTAAATCATTAGCAAGTGCTATAGTAACATGCATAGAAAATAAATGGAGGCTACTGAACAGATCTGTGACAAAGGCAGGAATAAAAAAACCCTTCAGGCTGTTTTTGAGGTTGTTTGGTCATGTTTAGTCTAACCTTTGGAGACTTGAGTCCTGACTTGATGGCCAGAGATGGGCAGGGCAGGACACACATTCCTCAATTCCATTTACACATATTGCCCAAGAACACAATAGAAACAGACAGATGTCTCTGCTTTGAGGAGCAGGAGGCAGCCTCCCCAGTGCTTTTGAGCATTCCCACTACCAGAGGGGAAGCTCCCCATCAGCTGATGGAAGAAGCCTAGTGAACAGGTCCACAAAAATCAGATTATTCCTGTTCCAGTTGAGAGTGATGCGCAAGGCACCCTTCCTGCTCAGGAAAGAGGAATCTTACAGGACCTTTCTTTCCATCACCACCTTGATTAATTCATTACTGATTTTTTTCAGGCTAGTTTTATTCAGGCTCTTTGGGACAGGGTGAGTCAGAGGTTGGCATCAAAACCAGAATAGAAGCCATAGTCCTCTCTGGGGATCCTACTCTGGGCTTTAAATTCCCAGATCACACAACTTCCTAATTGGAAAGAAATGTTTTTAAACAAGAACATAGGTTTTTGCCAGGCCTGACAGTGACTAATAAGGTCAGTCTAAGGACTGTCTGATGAAAGAGAAATTGGATTTACATGTCACAGTGAATTTTTGAAGTATTTTCACCCGGAGGTTTACTGCTGAATATAAATAAAATCTCCTTGGGCAACCCCATCCCAACTCCTGCAGATATGCCTTCGTTAATTAAATTAACTTTGAAATAACATTCGAACAATGTCTTCCTTCCAAATGCCTTTGCCTTCAACATCTACTTATTGACAAGCTGTTTCACAAGTTCCTGTGTAAACTGATTAAGTGTCCCACCCCCAGCCTGCATACTAATTGGAGGCAAATTTTATCTTCTCTATAGTCAGTATGGGTAGCCCACACATTGTATTCATTTCACTGTGTTCAGAAAGGCCGACACATTTAAAATACCAACAATTAAAAATTAAAGAAACTAGGTGCTTACTTAGGATCCAGATAAATACAAAATTTAAATCTCATTTGCTGAAATTCACACAGCTGAAGGCAAATTCCTGAGTTGAGGAGAGGATTTTTTTTTTAAATTAGTCTCTTTCAAAAATCAGGCATTCGCGTTCGTAATTAAAGCGGCTGTTGGCTTAAATCCATTCAGTCCGAAGCTGCGGTTCCCCTCCAGGGTGCGGGCGCGCAGGCGCGGGCACGCACACGTGGGCACACAATCACTCACACGCGCTCGCCCACACCCCTTTCCGTAGTCATCGCCTGAGGGATTTACGGGCTTCGCCACCACACATTATTGTCAGGTGCAAAAAACAAGTCTTTCTTCGGTGGGCATTTTCCTCCCCCGGGATTTGACTTTTTTACGGGCCACGTGAGCGCTGGGTGGGGGGTCGGCCCGCCGGGAGGCGACCCCAGCGTAGGGGAGACAAAGGCTGGCAGAGCGCGACCAAGGGACGTCTCCCCAGCTCCTGCAACAAATGCGCAATTGGCCTGGACCTGCCTCCGCCTGAGAGGCTCTTCCAAGCCCTTGTGAAAGCGTCGATGTTTCCCTGGGCTGGGAGAGGTCCCGGCCTGGGGGGGCCTGGCAGGGGCGGGATTCCTGGGCTGCCCGGGACAGCAGATGAGCCAGGGACCATCAGGGAATGGGGGGCTCCTTAAAAAGGGCGCGTTCCCCATGTACCAGGGACAGCCAGGCTTTAAACAGAATCTCACAGCCACCTCAGCCTATGAGAAACCGGACCCAAGCGCTTTTTGACTTCGGGAGGGAGTACAAACCCCTCCCCACCGGAGAGGCCAAGCAATGAGCCTTTGACTGCTGGCTTCCATCCGGAGTGCCCAGCTCCGAGCTCCCGCCACCCCGGAAGCCCCCGTCTATCCGCAGCTGTGGCTCGTTCCAGGGCTGGGATTAGAGTGAGCACTGCGCCTCGGACGCAAAATTTAAGGAGCACCAATAAAGTCTGTGGTCAAAATAAATATCTTAATGCAATGATTTTTAAGCAATTAAAAAGTTACTGCAAACAATTGTGATGAACAAAATATTACATTCTAAATAGGGACAGGATCAGTGCAATACTATGCTGAGCTTTTCTGTAGCCCAAGGTAAAAGGAAGATGCCCCGGGCCGGGAAGTCGGGTTGTCCTAGGCCTCGGAAGTGGAGGCCCCCTGCGGGCCTAGCAGGGGAGTGGAAGGATGGCCCTGGGGGCCGGAGGTGAGAGCTTAAGCGAGTGGCTCCGCCGAGAACAAAGGCGGAGCGGAAAGCTTAGTAGGTGGCCGGAGAGTCCCCGCGGGCTCCGCGACGATTGATGCCTGGGGCCGGGCTCCACGCGGACCTGGAGTGGAAGATTCGACCCCGCTGTCACGAGGCCGCGAGCGAGTCCTGCAATTACTCCGCTCGTTGGTTAATTCTCACTAACAAGACTTGGCAAGATGTCGGGCGCCAATTTTTGGCTTCTGGCGTGTCCCCACCGCAGCGCTCATAAACCCCTTGCCAAAAGCGGCCTCTGGGAAATTAAATGCATAAGTTAAAACTGGGGGCGGGGAAAATGCTACATGACCTAGAAAGAGGGATGCAGAGACCTGAATCGGCCCCAGAATTTATTCCTTTGCGCGTAGGTTTCTCAGGATCTAGCTTCGCACCAAATGTGGACCCTCATTGTCATTTACAGAGAAGACAATTCTTAAGTGTGCAGGATGGGGTGGGGTCTTTTCCAAAGCCGAGAATGTCGGTTTTTTTTTTGCACCCCCAACCCCCTCCCCCCCGGGGTTAAACAAATATCTTTAGGAAGCGTGGACGGGAGTGGCACCCCAGCTTTTCTCCACAGGAACATTCCGGCAATGAATGCCTCCCTCTGGGTCGTAAAGTGACAGACCCAACACCTCGCTCCCATTACTGGGCTTCGGCGGGAGGACTTTCTCTTTCATCTTCTAAGTTGGGGCTTGCCCACGTCCTCGGGAAGCTATAAAGCTGATTTAATGGCTTATGATGAAAATCGATCACGCTATTGTATAAGCTAACGTCAGAGGAATCGCATTTGAAAAAAAGACTGGCCGGGCCAAACGCACTCTGTTAAGCTTAGGGCGAGGAGGTCCGAGGCCCTGCTGTCCCGGCAGCCGTGCCCCGGTCCCTTCCGCTCTGGAGCCTGGGAGGAGGCTTGTGAGGCTGTTAAAAGGGGAAACACAGACATAAAAAGGGATAAAAACTCAAAACCGAGCCCTGGCCTCGGTTAGGTCGGATTCCCCGCGAGCTAATGTCTTTTCGCCGAACGCCACAGCCGGGTGGAAGCGGCTGCACGGCGACTCGCGCCGGGCAAGGCTGGCGCGGCGGAGGCTGGGACCCGCCGGCTGAAGGCGAGAGGCGTCGCAGCGCTCCATTCACAAAGTCCGGGTGCGCCGCTCGCCTGCCGGTCGGAGGCCTCCTCCCTCTTCCTCTAGGTCCAGGTTTTATGAATGGGCCTGGCGGCGAGCGCCTAGCTCCCTGTTTACTCCGCTCTTTGTGACGTCTCGTTCCCGTGACTGGGAGCGAGCGGCCGGCACCCCATTCACGCGCCGGGGAGGGGGCGGGAGGAGGGGCGCGCCGGGAGGAAGGAGCCGGGATGGGGCGGAGAGCAGGCGCAGGGGGCGGGAGGCGCGAGATCCCGAATGGAAAGAGGCGGGGCCTCATAAGGTAGTACAGAATCTGCCCCCTCCCGGGAGGGAGCAGAGCAGCGTTAATAAATCTCTAAGCCGAGGAGGAAACTCCGGCTGGGCCAGAGCGGCGAGCTCCGGCTTCTCGTGGGGAACGGCTGCGGAGCGGTAAACGCCAGTACCGTCAGGAGCAGCACAACGGGCAAAATACAAAGAGGCCACAAGAGAAGGGAACTCTTGGCCCTTTCCCGTAAACACAGTCCCCTTCACCGCCGCCTTCCTTCGCACAGCGCGCGGTTCTGCCTGGCTCCCGAGGCCGCTAGAACTGCTATGTGACCGCGAGACTGCAGGAGGAAGGGGACTGGGGAGAAGAGGGTCGTCGGTGAGAGCCCCTGGGGGGCCAAGTTTGCTGCCACTTCTGCACGTGCCCTCCCTTCGCCCTCGCCCGCCCCTACCTGCCCCCCAACTGATCCGGTTGTCCTTCGCCTCCTCGCGTGCGGTTCCCGGCGATCATGGTGACGGTGGAGGAGCTGCGGGAGATGGACTGCAGCGTGCTCAAAAGGCTGATGAACCGGGACGAGAACGGCGGCGGCGCGGGCGGCAGCGGCAGCCACGGTGCCCTGGGGCTGCTGAGCAGCGGCAAGTGCCTGCTGCTGGACTGCAGACCTTTCCTGGCGCACAGCGCCGGCTACATCCGAGGCTCGGTCAACGTGCGCTGCAACACCATCGTGCGGCGGCGGGCCAAGGGCTCCGTGAGCCTGGAGCAGATCCTGCCTGCCGAGGAGGAGGTGCGCGCCCGCCTGCGCTCCGGCCTCTACTCCGCCGTCATCGTTTACGATGAGCGCAGCCCGCGCGCGGAGAGCCTCCGCGAAGACAGCACAGTGTCGCTGGTAGTGCAGGCGGTGCGCCGCAACGCGGAGCGCACCGACATCTGTCTGCTGAAAGGTAAACGCGGGCTCCGGGACGCGAACTGTAGGGGAGGTTTAGAAGGGCTTGGCGGCCTGCGCCTTAGTGGGCCGGGGGAGAAGTGCCTGGGGGGAATCGTGGCGGCGGGGATCCCCGCGCACTACTTCGTGCGTGTCGGTGTGCACGGGTTTGTAAGGATTTTGTGCGATTGTGTGCAAATGCGAGCTCCTGATGTCCTCCGGACAGCGAGGGTGCGTTTCCTTCGTCACCTGCAGTTCCCTACCCATCCTAGTTCTTCTGCATTTGTTTACACTCATTAACGGTCTTGCCTCGCCGGCCCAGCACCTCTTCGGCGTTGCCCACTTTTCCAGTCCTCGGAATTGCTTCCAAGTGCCACTGTGCGGGTGGGGACAGGTTAGGCCTGTTGGTTTGGCGTGCCGGGGCCCCGCACTGAGTTCCACTCCGAGAACCCGAGAGGTGGGGAAGGGAGTGAAAGAGCGAGTGCCGATTCGATCGGAAACCAGCCTTTCGGAAATGCCCTAGGAAGGTCGGGTGCGGACATTGTGTGGGGCGATCTGTATCTCCCGTTTTGCCCAACTACAAGCTGCGCCCGAAAGGTGGTCAACTTCTGCCTGTGGCTAGAGCCAGGCTCAGAGGGCGGGAGGCGGAAGGTGTGCGTATTTAGGAAACGCAAGGCGGGACGGTGCCTCCTAGATTCTGGCAACGGAGAACGACCTTTTGTTCAGACGCGATTGTCAAAAAGCAGAGGGTGGCGCGTGCTTGATTTAAGAGAACCCTGGCGAAACTCTTTGAGGAGTGTATGTCTTGTCAAACCTGGAAGTCAGAAACCAAGAGAGCACCGAGTGGTGTCCCAGTAACTGAAGGGAAGGTGCGCCCGCGGCACCTGCAGGCCGCGTCGGGCAGCGGTCCTCTGCAGTCCTCGTGCAGAGGGAGCCGCGGGCGCTTGGGGTAGGGGCGCCCCTGGCTGCCCTGCGCCCCTGCCTCCCGCCGCCGCCGCCGCATTCCACGCATTCTTTCGCCCTCATCGAGTCCTCGCCTCCATAACTGAGAGGCGTTTCACAGTCCGGTCTTCAAAGAGCCGCCCTTTGGGCGCCCCTCGCCCCCTCCCTCCTTTCTTTTCCTCTCCGGACCTGCTCACCCCAGAGGAAGAGAGATGGTGAAGGGAAGAGGGGCGGAAACCTCTCTCCAGCGTCCCTTCCAAAAAGCACAACAGGACTTGCTCAGTGCCGAGGAGCCGGACTTGTCCTGGTGAATAGCGGGGGGCTTTGTTCTCGGCAGTTGTTTCCTGGCCCTTTGACCTGTCAGCTGCTGGGGAAATGCTGCTGTTGACCTGTGGTTGAACTACTAAGGCGATTTTCCGATTTTTTTTTTCTCTGTGAGACTGCACTTTGCATCTCCGATGGAGCCCAATCCTAAAAGCGCTTTAAGAAGAAGTGCCAGGAAGGGACTTGTACCGGAAGGACCCATCGGCCTCGCTTGCCCTGACGTGGAGTTGTGCCCTGGAGCCCTGTAGCGGGCGCAGGTCCCGCGTGCTCCGCTCTCCAGGTTCCTGGTTAGATCGCCAATGTGGGGTCCAGGCAGTTGAGCACGCCTGCCTTCCCTGCCTTGCCTGGAGCTGGAGGGAACGATAAGAGAAATTGCTTTGGGACGAAGTCCCATTCAGTGGGTGTTCTCCGTGTCCCCCTGCTCTGGAGTCCCTCCTGATTTAAAATCCCAGCGCGCTCTTTTCCCTGCTGGCCTCTGAACCCAGGACCCTTCTCCAGGGAGGTCAGACCCACGTGGAGTCTGGATTCATTTTGTTTTGTTTTTCTTCCTGGAAGAAATCCGGAGGGGACCGCCGCCCTAGAGCGGCAGCTCGGGAACCTTGGCCCTTAGGCTTCCGGGGGCGCAGACACTTAGGCCCCGCTACTGTGGAGGGAGGCATATTTTTAAGGTTTCCTCCTCCGGGTTTGCGGCACCACCCTGGTTCCCCAGATTCCCATCGGGAGAGCCCTGAGCCAGATCGATTCCAAGAGCCGTCCCATGGGCCAGCCGCTCAGCACGAGGCAAACGCTGATGTAGACTGGGTAGGACAGGAGCCTCTGGGTAAAATGACAGTCCCCTGGCTGTTGCGGAAAAGCAGTGTTCTAAGGGCTGTTGGCCTCTGGAGGCCTGCACTTCCTCCTCTTGTCGGACCCAGACTATGCATCTCGAAGTTGATATCCTCTGAGATGGAGAGGGGACTTGGGCCTCAGGTTGAACTTGTGTCTTCAGGAACAGAGCCTGGGGGTAGCCAGGAGAGAGGGTCAGCTGGGTCTTCATAAGCAAAGGGAGCCTGTCTTTGGAAGCAGCCACCTGATATTAACAGAGGTGGTGGGGTCTTCCAGCTTGTTCTGTAGTGTTGGTAGAACGTCTTTGAAGTTAACTGGGTCATAGTCTGTTTAACTGAGCGTATTTTCATATATGTGCTAAACAGTGGCGGTCTCAACATAGTTCTCTTCCTTTTCTTTGCCTTCTGATGGAAAAGACTTCCCTAGTGACGAAGGCGAGAAATTGGGCAGGGTCTGCTCCCACAAGGATGCAGGAAGGTGCAGGCTTGGGGGAGGAAACCAAGGCCTCCTGCATGTTAAGCTGTGGCAGGGAGGCAATGTGGGTTCGTGGGAGGAGACAGGAAACTAAAGGGAAACACTGGAAAACACAGGAAGAAAAAGCCCTTAGATTACCTTCAGTAAATGATTGGATTGATGAGAAGTTGGGTAGTTTGGTTCCCACCGGAGTTCATTTTATTTTGCAACTAATGGGCTTTTTCTGTGTTTCATGTGTGGTGCTGGGTGTGGAGTAAAAGTGGTCAGACATGAAGCCAGTTGTTGGTGTCTGCCATCTTGGGGGGACAGTAAAAACAGCAGGGTATTTTCAGAAGCTATTTTATCCTTCCTGGCCAAAGGCTAATTCTACCAATTAATTGTGTTTAAAAATTTGATTTTTCTACTTCTGTCACTTTGAAGGGCAGTTGGTTACTCATTTCGGATAGTTAATGACCAATACCACAGGCAATTCATTGTTAAGAGTAAACTTTGCTTAATGCCAATAAAATGCTGCCTAGCTTTTTTTTTTTTT